TAGAAGTTATTTAGCTAAATCAACAAAATCCTAATAGTAATGTTCTATATCGAGAGAGCACGTCACATGTTTTACGTAGGTTTACATACATCTATCTAATTATTGAATAAAAAAGACATGCCAGTATGTACGATCTATACTAAATCTGCATTAAAGACTCATCACGATCATCTATTTTAGCTCATTCATATATTGGTGACAGTATGACGAGCAGATTAAATTGAGGTTTAGATTAAAAAATAATGTAAATCAATGCATTAAAATGATATCAATAAATACATACATGTATGGCACGTTTTACAAGTGTCCTTTTTAGCAAGCCATTGCATATAACAAATAAACTTGATGGAGAAATGTGAGATTAATGAAAACATTTACATAATATGATTAAATAGATTACAAACAAGAGCCATTGCCGGCGGAGGGGGGGGGGGGCTCGACTTTTTACTTTTTCAAAAAGCTAGCAAAATAACGTTTTAAATCTTTAAAAAGAAATTAAAGAATAAAATATGATTTTTCTTTTTTAAATTCTGATACGTTTGTCTAGTCACTTGTTGTATGAATCCTTTCCATTAATAATTGACAAAGTTACAAAATAAATCAAAATTCAATCATTTGACAGTCGAGGTCATTTCAATGTCAATATCATATCTTAATAATTCCACATGTCTGTTTGGCCACAAATGTTGTTTGTCCACGCATGAATCAAATTCATACATAAATAACAAAAACAGGACAACTGACAACAAAACTCAATAATTTTGTCCTTGACCGTCAATATTATTTAAAGCTCAATGTCAAGGTCAGTTCAACCTTTTAAAAGGTCTTGTTCAAAAGGTTGTTTGTCAAAGTATGAAGATAATCCATTGATTAATTACCAAATTACAGCCAATAATAGTGATAACCAGTAAAAATAAAGTAATTGATCTTTAAGGTCAAGGTCATGAATGAGTCAAGATCAATTTGAGTTTGAAATACGTGAAGGTCCTGGTCTAAAAGATGTTGTGTCTAAATATTACAAAAACAGAGTTATAACCAGTTACTGAAAAAACAAGAGAATTTCATTTATTTGTCCTTGACATTAAATGTCAATTTAAGATCAATGTAGCATTTAAATTATATATTTGTTTGGTAACAAGTCTTGTTTTGTTCAAGTATAAATCAAATCAGGTATAAATGACAAAATTATGACAATTTAATCAAAATTCAATAAATTGACCTAGACGGTCAAGGTAATATAAAGCTCAAGATCAAAATATTATTTTGTTAAAGGTTGAAGATAATCCATTAATGTATTACTATTATTATTACAGTAACAGTCAATTAAAGCAAGCAAAAATCAGTGAAAAAATCAATAATTTGAGTTAGATATACATGAAAGTCCCATCCTAAAAAATGTGTTTTTACAAGAAGTCAATACATCCATAAATTACAAAGTTATATCTAGTTAAACAAAGAAAATGAAAATTCCAATAATTTGACCGTCAACGTCAATGTCATTTATGAGTAAAGGTCAATTAAAGTTTGTCTAGCTATAGTTTACTTGAAGGTCTATCCTAAAAGATTATTATGTCAAAGTTGTCCATTCAAATGGGACCACAAAATACCTCTATTATTTTTTTCTAAGTCGAGTAATTTAAGGAAATGCAAATATAAACCCACAAAACATCTTAAAGACCTGAGACGACTTACGTTATGGGGTCTCTTTATTTCTTATTTTTTCAATTTTGTCATTTTCTTCACAACAGCGTCCATCATGCGCTATTCGTTCTAAAGTTTATCATACCTTCCATGAACAGCGTTTATCACCTATTTACTAGTTTGCACTTTGTAAGCGTAAAATCATACAAATTTTGCATTATTAAACAAGGCAAGAAGCTTTGAGCAAGAAAATATTTATGCGCGAAATTGATTGAATGGGTTAAGATATAGTAGCGTTTATTTATAAAATGAAACATTTTCTATTTGTGTTCACAACTACATGAGTAATGTTTGTAGGCTATTGTTTTTTTCTGATATTGTTTTTGATGTTCCGCTACACCCTTGTGCCTTCAAATTAGTACAAGCATGTGCGCATGATGAAGCACGTAATGACTGACGCTTCCCATGAAAGTGCGTCGAATCTATCCCAATTATCGAGTGCCAATAACAAGGGAAGCATTTATTTCGGAAGCATATACCCCAAGCACCCGGGTATTCTGCATGAAGACTCTTCACCATGTCGTCACATTGTTGAAATAAAAATAAATTAACCATAGACTGCCCTATTAAAAACTTACTTACCTGCGTTATTTTCTATATAGTTATGTGTGTGTAATTGAATGTTTAACCAAGCGAGAAAGTAAACTTATACGCTTTTAGTATAAGCTCTCGACTAAAAAAAAAGAACTTTTGCCTGGTATGAATTAACAAAAGGACGTTGAATAAAACGATTTTTTTTTGTAAATTTAAAAAGTCACCCTCATCATTTTTCAGGATTTATTGCGATTACTTTAAACAATGGTTTGCTAGTAAAATTGCCTTTTGAAACCAATTTTGTTCTCAATTGTCATTTTAATGATAACATTTAGATATTGATCAGTAAGTAAATATAAATAATCAATTTTTTATTAATCTTATAATGTACATTTCACGCTTATTGTAAGACGAACCCTAAATGACGTCAGTATGGGCGCAGCCATTTTGAAATGGATGTCACGTCAGGTTACAATCTAAATCAACGGTGAAAAATATAATGTTAATATTTTGACAATATTACTGACTTTTTGAAAAAAATGGAAAACATGCCTAGAGATATTGACAACAGGGTTAAAATGGCATTAATTTAAATGATATTACTTTTATATTTAATAAAGAATGAAATATTCATTACTATAATTTTGGTGGGACAGACTATAATCAGCTGCAGAGAACTTGTGTTAAAATCCGTCAAACAACATTATGAAACGTTGACCCATTGGTCCTTGGTCCTTTTGATACACTCAAAAGTGATTATTATAATAAACATGCTGTCATCTAACTTACAAGTACAACATGTACAAATAGGCATATTCTACTTAAGCAGAAGGATTTTGGACAGATAAAGTTATATTTGTTTGAAATATCTGTAGGTTGTCCCATTTCATACACAAAATTTTGCTAGAAACACGCGATAATTATCACCTCATAAGATAAAAATTTAGTACTAAATTTCACATGTCGTCTCTCGAGCGATAGTTATCGCCTTTTTCTTTAGAATGAAGAAACTTATACAAGCAAAATTTGAAAAGTTTGCCTAGATAATTATCGCCTTATTTTCGTATGTTGTTTGTTTTTCTTGCGATAATTATCCCGTTGAAGGGCGCTTTTTATCGCATGCGAGACAAGCAAAATTTAATATATGAGAAACTACGTCTAAATTTTGCCCTTAAGAGGCGATAATTATCGTTTGTTTAAATCTTTATTTTTTTCAATTTAATTTTCTGAACGAAACAGGACACCGTAGACACTGGACATAAATTGATAATTTCCAAAAATATATTCACGAATTCACCTTATTGCTGCTCAGTTGCAATTGTACAAAGTGCAGTAATACATTGATTATTTATAGGTGCGTGACGCGGTTCAAAGTCAATACACAATTTATCACAGCCATTACGGTCATGAAGCAAATAATTAAATGATGTCCCATGATTAAATGAAAAGATGAAGAAAAGAGAAATATCTGAGAGAGTAGTCCAAAAATTAAATATGAGTTTTGACTATGCCCACTTTCATTTTTGTTTTTATTTCTTTTTCACCAATTATATATATATTTGGCTGATATAGCATCATATGTCATGGGTAGAATTAATTATTCAGCATATTTGCAGAAGAAATAGTCTACTCAATTATTTACCGACATGTTATTGAATGTATATCTTGATATTGTATGTATTTTCACTCACAATGTATTTAGTAAATGTATGTTGTATATATGTGTCATGACGAGGAACTGTTTTGTTCAAGTCATATTGTATAATACAATTTGTTCTGTTCTATTCTTATTTCATCTTTATCTAACTTTAGATGAGGCCAGACACAGAAAATCTTGAAAGAGTTGATATGTGTCTTTGAAACATGTATCTTTCTGCTTTGATTTAAAAGAAAGAGACTGAGATCAGAAAACCCGACAAAAATAGTAATTTATCATTGTGACATCGTAATATATCTTTAATAATAATTTTCTTGATACAAGTCTCCACAGGGAAGAAGGGCGAGTGATTTGAATCAGCGATACAGTATACATTAATACCTTTTATTTCTTAATAATTAAATACTTAAAATTAGAATAAAAGAAACACCTGACCATGCGAAAAAGAAGAAAAAGGTACAATGATAATTATAAAACGTTCCATGTGTTAAAAGCCGCAGCTTAGAACTGCGTTCGATATTATATTACCGATGAATCGGCCATTTTCATTGGCCAAAATAAATCGTAGCCTCAAGAGAATAAGTCGTGGTCACAAGATAAAACTCTGGGCAACAAGATCATATCTTGAGGCTTCAATATGAAAAGTCGTTGCCATATATAAGTCGTGGCCACAAGATAATAATTCGTGGCCACGAGATGATATCGTGAGGCCTGAATATAATAAGTCGTGGCGACAAGATAATTATGGTGGCAACGACATATGTCGAAGCCTAAAAATAATAAGTTGTGGCCATAAGATAATAAGTCGTGGCTACACGATTATAAGCGGTTGTCACAAAATAATACATTGAGACCACAGGATAATAAGTTATGTCCTCGAGATAATATAGTTAGGCCTCAGGATGATGAGTCGTTGCCACCAGAAAAAATAGTACTGTAAATGTCACCTCTATACCATCGTACATATTTTTAATTTCTGGAAATATGATTATTTCATGGAAAAACATTTATTCTTAAAATTGTTAAGGTTATTTATTGCCGTGTTCTATTTTTACTTTATAAATGGCATAATGTTAAGGTAAAGTTAAACCAAGTCTATGTAAACATTTAAAATTTTCAATATGGAAGTTATGTGCATTGAAACGGAGCGTTTTTGTTATTAACAACCATAGTAGCGTGAACTTTTTCACATAACTTAGCTATAACTGGAGATGATTTTAAAGCATAAAAAGTTAAAAAGGAATAAATTTGAAAACTTGAAAAGTGTGATTATGTTTTGCTGTAAACAATTATGTTTTAATTGACTGTGACACGAAATTTGGACAACTTATTAAGTGCAGAGATCAGTTCAGATAACACATTGAACATATTTTCTACAACATGGCTACTTGTAGGCAAATAGATACAGATATACTTTCAGATGAAATATTTGATGCATTATGTTCAATCTGTCGAAATAAAGGAAAATATACTGAAGGCGAAAAATTCTGTGTAGATTGCCACGATTACTTTTGTAGAGCTTGTGTTCAAGTTCACAATGACGTACCTGTATTAGGCAATCACAAAGTGTTGGATAAATCACAAGTAAAATCAGGAATCAGCAAAGGTTTGCCGAGGGCACCAACAGAGAGATGTGACAGACACAGTCATAAACACATTGATATGTACTGTCAGAGCCATGATAATGTTGGCTGTTCTACATGTATGGCAGTTGATCATAGGTAAAATTAATTATATAGTATAAAATCATAGATTATTTTCTCAATTTATTTATGGAATGATTAAAATGTACTTAAATATTCTTTTACATAAGATTCTATATTAGATACTAATTAGATACAGAAAATAACATTTCATCTCCTCTGTCATCTTACAGCCTCAAATACATGAACTGTGTAAACTTGTTTTTCAGATTATGCAAGGACACATTCTACATACCAGAATTTATCCAAAACAATACTTGCCAAGTTACATCCGTAGGAATACAAACAAAACTCAAGGAAATAGCCAAGACCCTTGTTCAACAAGCTGAGATATTTAAACAGGACAAACAAAGGCTGTTAAAGAGAAAAGCAGAATTACTGTCTGATATCAGAAAATTCCGTCAAGAAATCAATGACCATCTTGACAAGTTGGAGAAAAGTTCTATTGATGTGATAGAAGATAAAATCAAATGTCTTGAAGACAAGATTGAAGATGGTCTTAAACAGCTAGAGTCAAACATGTCCAGGGTTACATCAGCTATTGATAAATTAGCATCAACCAACACAAATCAAGCTGAAGTGTTTGTTTCTGTGAAGATGGGAGAAGATGCTGCAAATGTTGCCAACACATATATGGAGCATGTCAAAATGGAAAATACAGTAGAAGACATAGAGTATCAACCTGATAGAGCAATTCTAACACAGCTAGAACACAAGAAAACCATGGGCACATTAACAGAGAAACATTCAAAGAGAACTGACAATTTATTTCAGATTAAAGGAAACCAATCACATAATATAAAAGTTATGTCTGATAAAAGCAATTGTTATATCACCAGTGCCTGTTGTATGGAAGATGGTACAATAATTCTAGCTGATTACAACAACTACAAGCTTAAACGGTTACACAGTTATAACTATACTGTAACAGACTACTATGATCTACCCGGAGGACCATGGCAAGTGTGTATGATCAATAACACACAAGTAGCAGTAACTGTTCCATCACAAAAATCAGTTCATTTCATTTCTCTAGAAAGAAAAATGAAAACAACAAACAAGATTAACACTGACTTTTTATGTTTTGGTCTCGCATATTCAAACAATAATTTATATATTTCAGATCTTCGGACATCAGTATATGTGTATACATTGTCAGGCTTGAAAATTACTCAGATCAGCAAGGATCAATCAGGACATAGGATGTTCTCTGACATACGCAGTCTAGCTGTCAGTAAGGATGCTACTAGGATTTATGTTGCTGACCATGGTAATGGACTGATAGTACTGGACATCAATGGTCAGGTTATTACATCATTTAATGATGAACAATTGAAGAAGGCTTTCTGTTGTTATCTCACTGAAGCAGGTAATGTGTTGGTATCTGGAGTTGACTCAAATAATATTTTACAGTTTACATCTGGTGGTAAGCTGATAAGAGAGATTTTAAAAGCTGATTTGAAATTTGGAATTTTGTCAGTCTGTTGTAATCAACAAATGACTAAGATGTGCATGAGCAGATGGCAATGTGACAACATTGAAGTATATGATATCTAGTATGTTAGTAAATAAAAAAACACTTTCAATAAAAGTTTAATAATTTAAGAATATTTTGATTCATATGTGATACAAAATCAAACATAAAAAGAAAAACACAATCAATTAATTATTGATTGTGATAGGTATATACGTGTACAATATGTAATGATACTAGATTAATTCATTGTTAATATACATGAATTCTTTTGTGAAAACTTTATAAGATTTATCATATTCATGTACAAGATATAGTTGCATTATGATTTATTACAAATTGGTTTATATTTAACAATTGTATGTTGTGTAAATGAGACGGTGTTCATGAGTGAAATAAATGTATAATTTAAACACATTTGTCTTTCATTCTTCTGACAAAGTTTGGTAATTTTATCTGCGTATCTCCTATTCAATTTAATAATTCTTAAAAGCTAATTATGCCTGAAACGAATACTATTTTATTTTCTTTACAAAGACCAAAATTGGTTTTATAACGTTTCTATAAATGTTAAAGTGCTCCTTAAATGCTGCTTATAAAAAGAATTTGAACCGAAAATGAAATTAAATGTAAAATAGTGCAGCAAAATGTCAACAAAGTAGTTTTGTTTTACTTTTATACAAAATGCTTAAACTATAACTGTACTATTTTGCAAAAAAAATCAACAAAGACAACGGATGGTTCAGGTCATAGCAAGTAAACATAATTTTAAGAAACAATAACATGAAAAAACAGCAAAAGAGCTTTGAAGAAATAAAAATAAAAGCCTTTCTTGGGCATAATTGGCTTTTAAAGTATTTAGTCAACAACCAACAGAATGGCAACTGTATTTTTTACTAGAAGAAAAACAGAACAGGGAAAAGATATATAACCTATGCAACAATATAATACAACTAACAAGTTTTACTACACACAAACACATCTTTTAATAGTCCTGGAATAAAAAGGTATACCCATTTTTCAAAAGGCACAACAAAATTACCAAAGTACTGCAATCAATACAAAAGTCCATTACCGGTTAGAACCCCAGCAACATACTGAAGGGCTATTCCCATTCAGTTATGCCATTGAGGAAGACTAAACTTAGTTTTTTGTTTGCCTGTGTCACAGTTATGTTTCCCTACCTAAGGAAATTATGTTTATATAAATATAACAGTTTTCAAATGAATTCCAAGTTGAAAATGAAAATAATCATAAAAACCTAGGCGCTAGACTTACAAATCTAATCACATATAACGTAGGTGTTGACAATGAACATATATTTGAAAATTAAAATAAATCCATGAAAAAGCATGAACGTCATAGAATTAATAAGGAAATTAAAGTTTAATGGGGGATAATTCTGGAAAGTTATAGAAAACAAAATTCTAAGTTCAAGAGGGTTAATTCTGATAATTTTGGTGATAGAGTTGTTTACCTTGTCACATATTATGTGGTTTATGCTAAAAAGGTATATTGGAAGATTGAAGTAAATACTTTAAGAAATAAAGAAGTTATAGTGAAAGAGATTGTACTGCCTTCAAAACTTAATCAGAAATCTGGACTCGGTCAGCTGGTTAAAAGGACAGCTTCCAATTTACTACATAGATCGGCATGAGCTTTCCCCAAAGAGATACTATCTACTTACAAGTTTTTTATACCCCGGACAAAAAAAGCGGGGGGGGGGACAAAGTGACCACTTTGTTTTCCTTTCGGGAGAAAAATAATACCAAACCTTTTTTTACTATGAAAATTTTATTTTATTTGAAATTTAAATTATAATGTTGTAAACTTCAACTGTGGAATATAATTCTATATTATGTTCGAAGAAAATGCCAGACTTTCGGAGAATCTACCCATGCGTTCAGTACAGACCAAGATCAACAGGTACATGGTCTACACTGTTTGATATTCAGTACTGATTGTGGAATTGTCTCCAATTAAAAAACTAATGAATGGTTTTGTCCAGAAGGAAAGATGGACAAGTTCATTGAAGATCCTAAGCGGGATAAATGTATGTATAGGCCTGCGGAACATTAGTACTAACATACCTTGGTAATATTTGAAATACCTATGAATAACTTATATTCAGTTTTTTTATCAAATCCCGATTACTGCTTAGTACCTTTAACACAAATAAACATAAAATAAATTATTCATTCTAAGTTTTACAATATATTTCAATTATGCGTTCTAATATAATATAAAAAGACTATGAACTTAGTATTCTACAAATGTAAACCAATATAACTAACCAATATGACATTCAAAACACCCAAGATTTACATCTTCGGTGTTCACCCTGTAAAATTATACCACAATAGTTCAAATGTCTCTGTATTGTTAACAATGTACACATTCTTTAACTATCAGGTGGTCATACACGTGAAGATCAAAACTGACAAACACAAAAACACATGTAGTTTAACAAAGTACATTTAATAATATATGTTATTTTTCTTTTTCCGAAAAGGTTGCGAGATCTGAGATCATATAAATTTTAACTGTTTCGCGCAAATTATACCAAGGATATTGAATAAGAAGTTTTGTAAACAGAAAATTCGGGACATACTTTACAAACACATAAAAAATAATTCAATAATATAGTATAAACTGTGCGACTTTGAAGCTGCTTAACACAGAGAACAAAATAGTGGTCCTCTTAACTTTGTAATTTTTTATAAATCGGTAATACCGGACCGATATTTGTCTGACGTTCACGAAAACCTTACATTACACATGTTTTAACATAAAGAAAAAAACACAAATAACAAGAGTGTATCTCTTTGATGCTGTGACAATTTAACTGGTAAGAAAATAACAAGCTTGCCTGCCCGTTAAAATCGTCACCTTTTTAGATTTGTGAATGTTGATAAGATAAAAATTTTAAACTTGCATAAAAAACAGAAACAACATTTATGAATCGAGACATTTTTAGATCAATAGAAAAAAATGATAGTTACAAAACATTAATGTCCTATTTAAGCAATTAAGCATTCAGAGTTGAGCCAGAAGGTCAACTTATATACCATTGTTTACCAGTGTGTCGGAAAAATATGATGCTAAATTTAGTTATTTTTGTAAATCACAGAATTTTACAGTTTTTTTATAGTTGGTAATTTGATATACGTGTTGAGTGTGAAATATTTTCTGTAAGAGAAAAAATACCTAATTACAGTTAGCCAATTTCCAACATGGAAAGACCATCAATAAATTGTCTTCATTTTTTATGGATTCCGCTCTACTTATTAAATAAGTGAGATGTATCCATATTTAAAGTTTTAATCTAAAATTAACAAAATCATAATAGTAATTTACTTTAACATGAGAGCACCTTCCATCCATGGAACATACTCAATCAAACCCAGTCTGCAACATTTTCAACGTTTTTAAAAAACTTTTTTAGGAGTTGTTATTTTCTCTATTGTACGTAGGTTTACATACATCTATCTAATTATCGAATAAAAGAGACATGTCAGTATGTAAAAGCTATACCAAAATCTTCATTAAAGATCCATCACGATCTAGTTTTATCGATAAAAAATCCATACATTGATATTTATATATATCAAACAGCAACAAATAGCAAAAAAAAAAAAAAGGTTTAAAGAAAGCCCTGCAACAATGAGAGATCTGACATATAAGGTGAAATTCATTTATGAAATGAAGGTCAAAATTTTGTCTGGTCTACTTGAAGTGGTCTTAGACAAAACACCAAGCACTTTAAATGTTATGATCAAGGTTACAGTTTGCGGACGGCAACGGGAACACCGAAAAAACCTCTATTTCCTTTTTTTTCATAAACATCGAGCTTGAAATAAATATTAATGAGTTTAATTCGCGCTTTGGGGGGTAA